CATCCAGAACAGCAACACAGGCACTGTGCACATACTGTCAGCCCTGAATATGCACTTAATTCCTGCAGATTTTCACTGACCTTATAGGGGCTTCAAGTAGACTTACTAATCAGTTCGCATGTCCTGTGTGCAGGTCACTGCCAATATGCAGTTTACTGACAAAAAGTTATATGAAGTTATCTCCACTGCAAGGGACAATGGTGCTGCCTCCAGACCCAACAGTTTGACAGAAAATCAAGTGTCAAGAAACACTACGTAAAACTCTCAGACTGCAACACCAGTTTATGATAGCCTCCCAGTACAGATAGTCATGAAAACAGCTAAATATTCATCATATGAGTCAACAGTCACTTAAATGTCTAACGCAAATTCCTATCCAACAAATTTAGCCAAATATCAAAAGCTTCCAGACTAATGAAACCCATAAGATTAACAGAGCTCACAGCATTTTTCAGGCCACTTCCTTTGCGCAGAAAGCTACTAAAGATTTTTGTCTTCTTCACTTCTCCAAAGTGTTTATTTTCAAATGTGCAAATACCTCAAGGCAAGAACTTCCACACAGAAGAATATGTATTGAATTCTGGGAAAAATAACTAATTAAGACAAACATTTTAAAAAGTTATTTAAATGAATCCAGAAATACAGAACGATAATTAACAAGAGGTAAAGGGTGGGAGAAAAAAAAAATTAAAATAGATTGCAATCTGAAGCTAACCTCCTCAAGGATGGGTGTGGGAAGGGGAAAAAAAAAAAAAAAAAACCTCAACCCCCCCCCAACTCTATTCCACCTCTCATTAAGCAGAGAATTGAAACTGTGCTATAGGCCAAACTAAATACAACACACTTTAGTTTTATTTTAGATAGCTGAAATTAGTGCCCTAGCTTGTTAACGGTAGGTAAAATTCTACACTGAAGGTCAGAGACCAAGCAAGTCTCTTGCGTGACAACTAAGTTTCCCATTAAAATAATCAGATACCTTGTCTCTCACTCTTCAGGTACTCATGTGAGATAAGTTCAGGATAAAGCTTTGTCAAGAATTACTGGTTGCCTGGCCAAATATTCACGTTTTCTAACAGAGTTCGGAAGGGTTAACTTTACTGAATAAGGCCTCCTGTTGTGAATTGCCTTCCCAGTTTTCCTCATGAACATAAAACACTGAATGAAAAGGAGAAAACAATGACTTTAAGCAGGCCCTGAAGTCAGTGTTTACGTTCTCTGTTCCAAAAACTTTTTTTTTAATTGAAACCTGTATACACTCAGTCATTTTAGCCAATAGCTAAATAACCAGCGAAAGGATATATAAAAGTTTGACAATCACATCTTCTACTATACACTAATTTTTGTACCAAAGAAGAAATAAGGTTTCATTTCATTCTTCCATTTTTCCCACACCACCACCTTTTATTCTGTAAGGAACTAACAGACTCTCATCAAGAGAGTCTAGTTATTAGTTTTCCTCTTCAGCTTCCTTGGAGAGAAATGCCTCACATATACCTTGAGTTAATCCAAATTCCAGCAGTGTGCAGCTATCAGCCTAGCTTCACTAAAAACTCTTCGTGTAGAACTCTGAAAACAGAATTCACAAGCAAACTTTATTAATGCATCCAATACTTTTAATTCTATTATTTATGCTTCTAACTTGTTTTTATTACTATTACTAATCTAAAAGCAAACCAAAGAATATGATCCAATATCCTTAATTCATGTCTGCATGGATCTTTGGCAGGGTTGGCGTTAAAGGCTACTTCAATCCACAGCACAAAATCTACCACTTAAGTTAATGGTGGCAGGCTGTAATCCATCAGCAATATATCTATTTTCACCTTGAATTCAGTGTTAATAAGAACCACATTTTTGGGCTGAGATTAAAAAATAAAAGTTAAAAAATAATCCAAGACAAGAATGCACGCCTTGAAAAAATTCTTTTTACAAAATGGCCAGTCTCACAAAAAAGAACCAAATGAAAATAGTTCTCTCTTTTTTTTTTTTTTTTTGTAAATAAAAAGTGTTTGATGATCTAACCTTTAGCTTTTGCTTTCATGTTTGCCCGCATCAGTGTGAAGGATGATATCGACTTGCTACAGCTGTTCTTGACTTTATATGAGAAGAACAAACTAAAAAAGCAGGTGTATTTTCAGAGAGGAATCTCACAGCCCTAGCTTTGCATTCCACTTCAGTCAAGAACCTATTCTGGACTGGTTCAGAATTCCACTGTTCATTCATATTGTCCCACCCCTTTTCCAAATGTCCCTGGCTCAAGTCCGCACTCAGGGACATCACTACTTCCCTCTCTCCCCAGATGTATGTCTCAGTCGCATCCTGCTACATTCATATCATCGTCAATACATCTTTTCCTTCCAAATGGACCAGCCTTCTGACCTCTCTGACAAAAAGCAGAAATTCTTGTTCTTAGACCTTAGGAGCAAAGTCTTCTATGCCCTTCTCTAATTCCCTATTATTTTCATCCTAAATAATTCCCTTATGTTCAAAGTCATCCAGTTCCTCCTGATTATTTTCTGATCCTCACTTGTTCTGATGATGTCCTAGATATGAAACCTGCTGATGATGCATAGCACACACCACTTGTGCATCCAAGTTAATAAATACTAATATCAGATTAGTTCTAAGAATATCATTTGTGCAGCTCCATTAGTAACTTTCTACAACCAAGCAGCTCGTTTTACAAAGCCTTCTACTGTTTCCCCTTCAAGCCATTCCTCAACCACTTTACAAACCCTGCAGTATTTCCCATTTTTCTCCAGCTTCAATGATATCTAATGACACCCAATAGAAAGTGAATTTCAACAAAGTCCAACAGACTGAGCAGCATTTCTCCTGCTTAAATCAGAACATTATCTTGGTGCAACCTCTTAATATCTACTGAAATCTACTGTGAAACTACATTTCAATTGATTCCATTTCCCACTAACCTTCCTATCCTATCTAAAAGTTTACATGATACAGAAATATGGACACGGAGAAAATACATGGTGTGTAAGCCTTAGAGTATAACCTCAGTAGGAAGCAAACAAAACAGCTACTGGCTTTCCCTTTGGTTTCAAGGAAACACTATTTTGTAATTTTTCTACTTTGAAAATGTAGGCTCTCAAGCCAATAAAGTAAGAGCTTATTTCTGAATCATTCCCACATTATCTTTAATCTCTGTCCTGCTCTTGCTGCAAAGTCTCCTCACTTCTCTTACCTGCAGAGAAAGTTCCATTGAGTAAAAGTCAAATAGATGGGTTATGTGCAGGGGCTTTATCTGAACATCTGTTAAATCATTAGTACGCACTGAACGGAAAAGGTGACATTATAGCGTCTATTTAAACTAGTATGCCTACATACAAGACTTCTGCCTATACACCTTGGATTCAACTATGTAATAGCATTTTCTTCTTTTTTTAAAAAAGGGAATTAAAACCAAGTTTAAGTTCAATTTTGGTTTTCAGTAGGAAAGAAGGATAGAAGGATGAGTTTTACACTTTGTTTGCTCTCAGAAGCATCTTCTGGATGCTTCTGGATGAAAGAGATATTTTAGAAGTCAAACTGAAAAGGATGTTGAAGAAGGCTTAGACTTCAAACTTAAACCTGCTGTAAAAGATTTTTCAAATGTATTGCTTTGCGTTCACATATTCTAAAATTTAAACTGCTAGAAAAGTTAGAAGCATGGATCACTACACTGTTTCAAGGAGAAATTACATAGATATGGAGGAAACCAGTAAAATTTGCCCTCATCCACATGTTCTGGGCATTCCTTAATTTTACACTGACTTCTTTCATGCAACAAGAAGGCAGTGAAAGAGTTCTTTCAGGCCGCTGTGACACAGAGGAGCCTCTGGTTTGACTACATTATAGTATGACCCAATATTGAGACAATTTAAAATTGCAAGATAAATGTGGAACTACACAGAAATATCTCCAAATATATCTTATACAATAGATTGTTGTAAGACTGTTGTTCTGACAAGCGTTAAAGTTACAAATATTTAACCTTACCTAAACATTCTTAACTTTGCATAGTGTTTTAAAGAATTAGTTAGCTTCAGTTAGAAGTTCCTATATTTTTTCCAAATAGAAATGTAATATTTAGTGCATCTAAATTGAAGACTTAGTTCTCTCAAATATGAGACACACATAACCGCTAGAAGAGTCAAGCTTTACCCTGTCAAGTTAAATGCTGTACAAAATTTTTTCAACATAACCAGTTAAGAAAAAACAGTACACCTCAAAAGAGGTGATATCTGCAACAAGACAGTAGCTCAGCTTATTAAAACAATAATCTTATTGTAAGCAGACATTTCTGTTTTCAGTTGCTTTCAACAAAATTTTGGTAAACTGCTTCATTTGAGCTTTTATATGCTGGCTCTCCCCATCAAACAGACTTTGAGGGAAAATTTCAATCCAAGCAAACTAGATGCTCCAACAGCAGCCGATAATAGGGAAAATAGGTCATCTTCTCCAAGTTAAAAATGTCTTGCTTTTTGTTTTTTAAAGCAGATCTAGCTTCTCAGTTTTGCAGCAATAGCCAAAGTAAGAAGAAACTGAAGAAAGAGAATAAGCAATCTCATGGCTGTTAAAAACAAAATACATTCCTTTAATTTAGCACTTATCCCCCTCTACTACAGAACTGCAGGGCCAATTTAAGCAAGTCAGTCACACCAGTTTTCCAGAGGTAGCCAACAGTTGTATAGTTCCTGTTTTCTGAGGGCCCAATCTGACAGGCTGTAGTCTGAGCTACAGGAACGCTGTAAAGTCAAATAGCAATGGAGGAACAACGCTAAATGCCTTTGAAAAGGCATGTCTGATTAAAGACACTTTAATTTGGCTACCTAACAGAGGTAGAGCAA